AGAATCTTATAAACCAAAGAAAATAAATTTATTTTCCCAAGGACATTGTAGTAACTAATAACCTAGTCTTTTTTAACTAATATTTTACACCCCACCATCATGGTCAATGATCTCACAGGGAAAAGATAGGGTGGTAAAAAAGAAAGAGGAAACAAGTGAATTACAAGAAAATTCCAGGTCATATGGCATATCAACAGTTATTACTCACCCCAATCTGTTCAACAACATTCGATACATAACGTACATCATTTGTTGGAGTGTAGTTACTTGAGAAAGACCTGCAGTACAAATGTCATTCTCATCGATGAACCATAGTATAAAGAATAGGAAGACAAATAAATAGTATAATTTTAGTAGATGAACAAAAGAAGCTAAAGAACTAGCAAGATCGGTAAACTGATTAGTGGTTGATATTCAACACCTTCCTATAATTGAATTCAACAAAGTGGACTTCCCGGATTTTTTAAGACCAAAAACAAAGCAGTGAAAAACATTTTTTCCGTCTGTTTCTTCTTACAATCTACAAATCGTCGCCTACTGACACGAAGGGCTGAAGTTGGATCTCCACCATATCCAATGCAAATCAAATTAGCCAAACTCAATGCTGGCTCCAGACTTGTCATCCAGGCCCACTGCAGACCACGTATATAATGAGAGTTAGAGTTAAGAAGTAGATTGACTAGAATAAAATTGTTAAAATATCAATCAATACCAACAAGATAAGACCTGCATTTTTACCAAACCCAAGAAAGATATCTGATCTCAGAACCATGAATTGAAGTCCCATGCTAAAAGAGCACAGAGAAGAGAACAGATAAACCCAAAATGCTAACGGAGGTGGGAGGCAATCATATTTTTCTACATGTAGATAAAGCATTAGTATAGCCAGTGATGTTTAGTTGACAATAAACATGGTGAAATGGTAAAGTACTTCCATAGAGAATTTAATTAAAGAAATTATGAAACTATCCAGCAATATTAGCCACTTAATAAGACCATGCACTGCAAGTAAGTGGAACTTCAGATCAACAGCATCCCGATGTTCAATACTTATTGCCATATGGTTTACAAATGCAAATTAGAAAATGCATAAAAATCTTGTGAAATCCATAAACGCTTCTAGTGCCACGAGTAGGATCCTTAAGACACTGTGCTGTGCAGAAAATTTAGGATATGGACAAAACTCATAACAGAAATAAATGGTCCAAGATAGCCACTAAGATGATATCACATGTTATAACAAGAGTAAGAAATCAAGGAATGAGTAGTAAGCACAACAACCCTCAGATAAAAACCAATTAAGTGTTAAATTTCCTTGAGGCGTTCTCTTTGCAACCTCTATGTAAGGCTCTGTAGTCCATGGGCTGAATTAAGGACAACAAATATGTTAATAGAAATATATTCTAAAAATCAAATAGGATAATGGGTAAACAACAGCAGAGGCCAAGTCTAAAAGTTAATTTCTTATACGAGAAAAAAATGATCAGTAGATGAAAGCAGTAGAAGTAGATTGGCAAGGCTAAAAGTTAATTTCTCATACAATCGGAAGATCCCACGCAAAAAGTCCATAGCTTGAGAAAATTACCAACCTAATTCTAGGCTCGGACCGAACATATTACCATATATATGATTAATCAAGTGCTTTGGAATTTAAACGAAATATATACAAGGAAAAACAAGACAATAGCATCAATGTCAGTTTGAACAAATAATAGTTATGTCCACTATCAAAACTAAGAGTCACCTGGTCAGGGGAATGCTTTGTTGGAACTGGAAGTATGTCATCCCGAAGCTTTAATTCATCATTATATCCAAACTTCCTCAAGACAGCCCAAGTTGTCTCAAGGTGCCCCTTTTCTATAAAAAGAGCATGAATAAATAGGAACCCTTCAAGTGTAAGACCAAGGTCACTGACTCCTCCTTTTATCCTCTCTTGAACCACCCTCTTTACACCCATAATCTTAGTAGGTTGTAATGGACCATTAAAGCATTTAACATGTTTATATATTGTGCAACATGTCAAACCTTCCAAGTTTCTAGGAGAGAAGTAGTTGTGGTTAAGAAAAAAAAAGCAACAAAAGAGAAAAGAATACCTGAAACTCATTCAACTCTGCATCACTAAGGGCTCCGTCCATATCATGATCACAAAGCATAAATATTTGTTTCAATGCCCTGATACATCGTGGCTTCAAGGTTTGTTTCTCTTGATCAAATAGTGGAGCTGTTGGATGCAGAACTGCCTTTTGAGCATAATAGAATACATCAGGGACCTGGAGATATAAAAATGTAACACTTATATTTTGACCTTCAAATATCTTTACCTACTAAACAGGCAAAAAATGGTAAATGGATTTAACAAACATAAAGGTAGCATTTACCAATTGCTCAAAAGAAATATAAAACAGGAAGTATATTACATCAAATAACAAAACAACGATGGAAGCTTAAGTCTTGATTCTCACTATAGCCGACAACCAACATTTAAAAGGTGAACTGCTAATCCTAATGCGTACAAACTACAAAATGAGTGTGATGTAAACCTAAAAAACGTACAAAAGAAAATTGAAACCTGAATTAGAGTATCTGCGGAACATTCTATATAGGTTTCGATCTCCCTGAACTGTTGCATGATTGGTGCCATGACTTGTTCCAAGTTCATGGGCTGACGTTCATCTCATAAATCAAGTTTCAACCAACCACAATCACTGGGGCCTTGATCTATTCAGATATTTTAAACAATGGACAAATTGTAGAAAATACAAAGACCTAGTTTGCACGGTGCATCAATTAAATCAAATTATTCAACTTTTCGTGACATGGGTTCTAACAAATGCATTAAAGGAACAATGCCCATTGAATCAAAATGAAGAAATAAGCAGAAAATCAGAATAGAAATTTAGTGCTATCAAAATGAATCAAAACGAAATGCTTCGAAGAAATCAAACCAAAGGAGAAATAAAGCGGAGAAATAAAGAAATAAGAGTCAAAAGGTCGATGGTGGAGGAAGATGTTCTTACCTTTGTGACTATCGCCGATGGTGGAGAATCGATGCGAGGGTTGATGGAGGAAACTGAGCAACTGATTGGGGAATAATACGATGAAGAGAATAGGGCTAGGGCTCAGTCTCAAAATTTGGGGGGTTTTATAGAAAGTTGCGGCGTTTGTAATCCAAACGCTACTATAGTTTCACTCTATCACTGCATTTACTTAAAAAACGCCACTACTGTCCAAATGTTGAGCGGCGTTTGTGTTTCAAAATGCCACTAACTTAAGCCTCTATAGCGGCGTTTTCTTAAAAACGCTGCTAAAGTTATATTATATTGCGGCGTTGATTAAAAAACGCCACTAAATATTAAATTTATTGCTGCATTTGTATAAAAACGCCACTAATGTCCAAATATTTTGCGGCGTTTTTGTTTAAAAACGACACTAAAGTAACACTATTGCGGCGTTTGTGTAAAAACACCGCTAAATTACCACTCTATTGCGGCGTTTGTTGAAAAAACGCCACTATAAACATCTCTATTGCGGCGTTTTAGCTATAAATGCTGCTAAATTACCACTCTATTACGGCTTTTGTTTAAAAAAACGCCGCTAAAGTATCATTTTGTGGCGTTTGGATAGTAAACGCCGCGATATGCTTAAATTTTGTGGCGTTTGCCCTTAAAACGCCGCTAAAAACGTCGCTACAGAACACTTTTGTTGTAGTGGGGGTATTTGTTTGTATTATGCCTTATAAAAAGTATCTCTAAATGTATAAAGATCGATTGTGTTGGTAATGCTATAGACACTATCCCACATTGAGTGGGAAATATCACATACAAAGATATTTATAGTGTTCATTATCTACTCCCTTGTTGAGTGATAGAGAACAAGAGTCAATCTCAATTGTCATCGTCGTCGGATTGGGTTGTGGTTATATGTGTTTTCAACATGTCCGTGTGCGGACTATTTTTTTGGAGAAAATTTGTAAGAATTTTATGGGTAAACAAAGAATGTGAAAGAATTTTTCTCTGATATTTATAGGCTGAACAATGAGCTAATATTCGATTCAAAATTTACAGAGGTGTAACAGCTGTATTAGTTGTCATTTGAATTATGTAAATTAAGTCAGTTGTAATTGAGAAGCATTATTTTTAGAATTATGTCTTATTTGAATATGCGATGTATCCGGACAGTATTTCAGCTATATACAAAATTTATTAGATAGATGTTATGCTGCTTCAGTTACGGGGGCTTAATTGCAGATTAATTAGTTGTTGTAACAGTTATCTCGGAATTATGAACCTGGACAATTTTGAGACCAGGTTCATTGGTTTATGACAGGCATAAAATCCGAAAATATTAAAATCAGAATTTAATCTGATTTTTTACTTGGACGTTTTTGTCCCCGAATTTAGCCTATAAATAAAGAAGCATTTTCAGCTTCTCAACTCACTCAAAAACATTCTCAATTCCTCTCAAAAGCTCTATGTAACTTTCTAAGTATTCTTCATTTCTCCTAAAATAGGAACAGGACCACTACAGTCCACTTCATGTTTCGGGTGTATGAATCATCGGAGTGACTATGTTAACTTCGGGGATGATCCACCTATCGTATCAATTACACATATCGAGACGAATTCGTTTATAAGACTATGGTTTCACCACGACACGATTCAAATTATTTTATTCAATTATTTTATTTAAATTGTCATGTCAGTGCTAACGATATGATTTTACAGTATAAATATTTCCAACAAATTATACTATTATTTTTTAATCGAGTATCTTCCGCCTCAAATTCAAATCTAATCTTATCCTTACAAAAGGCGACCCAATCCGGGCTCAATTTTTCAAAAAGGTTATCCTATAAGATCATATCTGATCAAAATTTAATAGATTCATGTCAAATACTCATCCCTAACTGATATATAAATCGTCTCACCACCGAACTATTAAAAATAAAATTAAATCTAGACCCTAAATTATAAACTAATAAATTCTCAGTGCATCAAAAATAAAGAAAAAAAAGTGTTTTAGATAATTTAGAGCCTAAATCATCCAAATCACTGGTCCAGTGGCTTAATTTCAACACACAAATCATCTACAAAAGAGTTCAAACGAAAGGGGCAATTCTTATAGCATCATGAGCAATCAGCCTTTCATCTCTTTTTTTCTTGCAGAGTGACTGCTCATGATGTTATATCGTTCCCACTGAAAAAAACTTGTCGTCCCTCTACTCCTACATTTCTTTGAATCTTGCTTTGCCTTTTCCCGAGCCTTCTATTGGAGGCCACCGCCGAACGACGGAGCCCAGTAATCGGCGCCGTTGTCGCTGCCTACATGAAGCGTGCATGACACCGGGACCAAACACAGCCCTCTACTCCTCAGGTCCTTCGGTTCCTCATGACTTTCCTGTATATGAGAAAAATAAAATTTATTATATTTCTGTTTTTATTATAACGCATGTGGTTTTTAAAAGAAAATTGGAAATATAAATAAAATGTATATTATATAATAATTTTAATTAAATTGATTTTCATTCAACAGCTACAAAAAATTTAAAAAAAAAACATAACAGTTTTTAATTCATTAGTCGATCAAACTAAAGCATTTTAATTAAATTGATTTTTTATCAATACTAACATTACCTTAAAATCTAATTAAAAATCTGAATATGATCTGATATGAATTAATTAAATAAATTTTAAAATTTTCATATATTTTTTGTCAAAATAGAAAATATAATCGAATAAATTAGTAATTCTTAGAGATCTCAAGTTCAAACACAAGAGATTGGAGGGTATTTAAACGTTCGTTGTCAAATAATTGAGTTTTTAGAACATATATCACCACTTATAACACCCTAGATTTATCGAAAAAATATTGTGCTAAAATTTTTACATGTGTTTTTTATCAAAACCTAACTAAGAATATTTAAATATATGAAAGTATATTTTCAAAATTATTTCGGGATAGAACTGATTTTTTTTCTAAATTTAAATTCATTCCGACAAGATAGTATTTTAAAAAGTTATAACTCAATCCGGAATTCGAAATTTATATAAAATTTAAGATAAGTTTTGTATTTAATATCTAAACTATCGGTTTTAATCTGTTTTAGTATTTAAACTTTTAATTTTTTAAAAGTATGTATAATGTTTATTTTTTATTTCATTTTAGTACCCGTCATTAAAAACTTAACACGTTTAGTATCCAAACTATCAGTTTGATCTGTTTTAGTACCTAAACTAACTTTCAATTTTTTAAAATTTAATGTTAAGTTTTGAACGGTGATACTAAAATGAAACAAAAACTATATATTAGGTATGATTTTAAAAATATTGAAAGTTTAGTACTACAACGGACTAAAATTAATAGTTTAAGTACTAAATGCGTAACTTACCCTAAAATTTAATACTATCAAATTAGATCAAAACTTATATACCTGTTTTTTTCACCGTCCCTTTTTCCCACTATAAATGAAATAAAGACTTACCTGTCCAGGATCTTCAGGAAATATACAGTTTCTCTCCCCTTGAACCTAATAAAGAAAAAACACCATTGTAATCATGAAGCAATTAATACCACATTAATAACTCCGACACGTATATACGTATATTTTCATGCAGAAAAAAATTAGAGAAATCTGAGAATCTAAGCAATCTGTGCGTTCTTACAGGCTGCTGCTGCCGCCGCCTTATATTTCCTTGTCCGTTGCTCAAGTAGGGTAAGCTGAGAGCCTACAGTGGAAGAGAATGTATGCTTCAACAACTAAGCAAAATGTTGAACAGTGTGGTCTTAATGTCATCCATGGTTGTCTGCAAGCAGGCCAGAAAAAAAAAGACAAATTTACCTCAATCTGACCCTGAAGGAATCTGATGTACCCAATAGCTTCTAACAAGACAGAGGCTGTGTCAGTCTGCAAAAAGACATTCAAATATGACACTGTCCACATACCTTTATTCATGGGTGTTTTTACATGGTAAAATGGTAAAATCTTTTACCATTCTCAAATTTCCTTTATCAAAGCTTAATTTTATCTGGGTAAAATTCACCCTCAGGTCACTTAATTGTTATAAATATGCTATTATATAGCTAAAATTGAAATATATGTCTAATGTGATATGGTATAATAGTAGTTTAATCCCTAAAGTTTATTTGACCTATCAATTTGGACTTAATTCAAAATAATTCAATAAACTTAACCCTTTTCATATATAATAATTCCATCAATTTAGTATTGCTTTTACTATAATATTCACTAAATTGTAACTTTTAGCCAAAAAATTGACCCCTCCATAACCTAACTAATAATTAAGTGGCCATGGGTGTATTTTCCCCATTATATATACCTTCCCAAACGGAGAAACAAGCTGGTGAAGTGCTGTGATTCTGTCCCCTAATTTCTCCTTCCTCACCTGTTAATACATATAAATCTGATTAATCAATTCCTTTAACACGCATGCATACATGCATACATACATACATATATGAGAGAGAAAGGTATACATAGCAAGGCCAAAAGAATCCCAATCTGCGAAGAAATGGACAAGCAAAGGAGGACAAACTCTGTAGCAGATAACGGACGAGTGTGTTTGTTTTCTGGTTTCAAGGGTATCTTGTATGAGTGTGCGTGCATTTTTGTGTTTATGCGGTGAATATGACAGAGATGGAAAATTGAAAGGTTAAATCCATAATTTTTACTGGCTTTTCCTTTTCTGTACATTACCTTGATGCTGGAATGGGTTGCACAAGGCTGAACCCTAGCTTTCTTCATTGTCCCACCACTTCCACTGCTATTATACTACCAAAAACACCAAAATAAGGGCATGAGAATTATTTATCCGGTGTGCCCCCCACTTATCGGTTTAACGATCATTTTAAGTAAAGATTAATCTGATCGAATCCATGTTTAATATGTCTTGAAACAGATCTGAAAACCCTAAGTTTCTTTAATTTGTTCAACTTACATTAGAAGATCGATCTGGGAATGACTGGCTTGCATCAGCTTTATTCCCAGAAAATTCCAGCATGTTAGGGCTGCTGAAACCCGTTACAGATGACTTGGGGGATGATGAAGCAGCAGCAGCCATTATTTGATGATGATGAAAGCCTTCACTTGCATGTCCATACACATAGCTGCTTGCACTTGCTGGGTTTTCTTGCTTCACATGGTGTAATGCCTGTTCTTCACCCATTAATCCACCCCTGGAAATAAAACATATGTAACACGAAATTAAGACGATGTGAAAAAACATGCATGATGCATCGTCCAGATATACATATACACAAACATACACGAGTAGTTGGCTCCATGAGTGAGGAAGCTCCTGGTTATCATGCTCATGCCAATAAGGAATATGAAGCGAATTGGAGGAGTTGGAGGAGGAGGAAGAAGTGGGTGTGAAATGAGGGAAGAAAGCAGTCGGAGAAGGTGGTTGTTGCTGTTGTTGTAGATAGGTCGACGGCGGCGGTGGGCGCGTGGTGTTGATGTTCCACCAGTTAGGGTTTCCGGCCGCCATCATCTGCTGCACTGGTGAGCTCTGCAACGCTCCTCGGTTCATGGCCCTTCGATAAACAACTAACGATAACGACGGCGGACGTGGCGGTGGCGGTAGTGGCGAAGTGATCGGTTGAAAGCTTTATCTTTATCTCCTCGTTTAAGCACAGAAGATTTTGAGATCGCAAAGCCTGGTTTAAGTGGAGAGAAGAAACACACAACCACAAGCTCTATTCCTTTTGAGAGAGTTTGAATCAATGGAGGTTTTGAGAGCCTTTGTTGTTTAAAATTGTTTATTGCTTTGCCTTTTTCTTTTATGTCTTCCTTTTTTTGTTTCTTGTTCCTTTCTCTGCTTTTGCTTTATCTCAAAGTGGGGCAGAAAAAGGTGGAAACAATTCTCAATTACTATATTACAAAATATTTACAATAAAGAAATAAAAAATACTCACAAAAAATATATAGATATAAAGATTATAATAATCATTTTTCCAACTTTATAACATTAAATTAAATTAAAAATCATCAAATTGAATAATTAAAATATTTCTAATCATAATGCAAGTCCAATTAATAATTTAATGTTATACCAAGTCCAATTTAAAAACAATTTAACTATTCCAAGTCTAATTCCTAATCTTAAATGTGAGCTTACATGAATATGTGCAGACATACATAAAATTAGGGGTTGCTTGTTTACTTCAGAATAGTTAAACGCTGAATGATTCAAATGCTGAATGATTCAGAGTCTCTGTATGAATTAGCTCTGAATGTGACATGTTGTTTGATAATGACTCTGAATCATTCAGAATGTACTTATGTGCTGAATCATTCAGCATTATTTTGCTGAATCAGGCATCATTGAATCATTCAGAGGTGCGAAACAAACGCGCTAAATGCTGAACGGTTCACCGTTCAGCGCTGAATGATTCCATTAAGAGACAAACAAACATCCATGTAGAAATGTGAGACGTGTAAATCTGATATCAATGACGTCAAGGTGACGGAAAATGGGAAATGAAAAATGAAATAAAAAAGTGAATAAATTACAAAAACGTGTGGTAAACGAGGAGTGAGGTTTAAAAACCGAGCATGGATGAACGTAAGACTTTATTTTAAAATAAACGGATTTATATAATTTTAAGAAGTGAATAATTTATAAAATATTAGATGACGAACAATTATTTTTAATAAAAAATATTTAAAATATATTTAAAATTTTTAGGAGTACGACTGATCTAATTCAGCCTTCTCTAGTTCCATCCCCGAACCAACAGACATTAGGGTACACAGTTTTCAAGAGGTCAAAAACCAAAATCTAGTGCTTTGAAATTCCCTAAGATTACTTTTTCTATGAGCATGGGTTAATCCGTTTTTTAAAGACAACAAAAAAGTTTGATTTTATAGAAATTGTGTATATACATGTAAAACAAAAATCGCGAATTAACAAAATAAATGAATATTTTTTTTTATATTTTTAATTGTAAAGTTAAAAAAATATATATTATTATATTTATATTCTATTTATTGTGATGTAGTTTATATAGTTAGTATTGTTGTTGCACTAGAGCAAAATGAGTTTTGCGATATTTTTAGCGGTGCTTTTTGAACAAACACCGCAAAAGACTCTTACTTTAGAGGCGTTTGTATACAAACACTGCTAAAGACTCATATTTTTGTGGTGTTTTTATACAAACGCCGCTATATGATTGAAAAAACGTCGCTAAAAACCTATTTTGTTGTAGTGTTGTTATAATATACATAAAGATATAAGTTTGAAAGTGTTTAAATATATTATGTTGATTGAATATTAATTTGATTGACATTGTTAATATTGTAACATACAAGTAGACATAAATTTTAACGTATTTAAACGTGTAATATCTTTAAATCTATGATTGTGAAAAAATATAAATAGTTTAGATAATGTAAAAATATATATATAAGGTCTTAATATTTTAAAACCATCGAATAAAAATTGAATGTTTTTACATTTACTCGTATAAAGGTCTTAACCTTTCAAAATACCTAATAAAGATCCAATATTTTAGTCTAACCTTTTTAAAAATTGATTTTTTTAAATGACCGAATTAATTTAATTTATTGATTAAAAAACAGACAAACAAAATTATTCTCTTGGAATAATTAATTGGATTATTCCATGACAAACATTCCCTGAATCCACATTCCCATGTCCCAAACACAAACAAACAACAAACAATAAAACAAGACAACGCCCCTTAAATCCCGTGTTAATCTGACAACATATTTTGGTAACATAAGTTTATATAAATACATAAAACAAAATTAGGGCACAATATACGAATGTTTCCAACTGTAACATATTTATTTGTTCAGCGTAAGATTATTAAAAGTTATAAAATTATCAATTAATTATAGAATATTGTTTTGTTGAGTTATTCAACTTAAAAAGCTATAAAATGATCATCCGATTATTTAAATATTTCAAATTTGTTATTTTTCGTTAAAAAAACGATTGTCTAAGCTGGACGTTAACCTATTGATTAAGATACGATAAAATATGATCTCAAACGATTATCATATCTCAGTCAACATGTTAGTGTAAAACTTATACAATCATCAATTTTTAACGAAAAATGACGAGTTTAAAACATATGAATAGTTAAGTGATCGTTTTATAACTTCTAATAATCGAAATAATCAAACAATGTCTCATCCTAAGATGAGCATTTTATAATTTTTAATAATTAAAAATTTTAATAAAATAATATTTTATAATCAAGAGATTAATGCTTCACCCAACTTTTTTTTTTTTTTACATTTTTTAATGTTTTGAAGGAAGTCGAAATGGCCGCGTTTGTTTTTGTCCGTACATCCAAAATCTTTGTCGGCTACGCCGTGTCTTTTCCAGGATTAACGCATGGTTGCATTATGTTTGGTTCGCGTGCATTGCTAGTGATTCATGCCTTATTCAATGCGGTAATAATGCTCGATCGACTAACGAAAATATTAGGGTAAACAATCTCTTTGGTGCCTCATATATTATTGTGTTTCTATTTTGGTCTTTTTTTCCATAAATTTATGCCTAGTGTTACTTTTAATTTCTATTTTAATATCTCACTATTAATTTTGGTGGTTGATTTAATATAGATAATGATGTGAGTTGATATAATAGCAAATTTAGTCTCAAAACTTATACATTACATCAATTTGGTGCTAATTTAAAATAACTTAATAATTAATTTAACCACCAATAATCATTCTGTGTTCTATCTCCTATAAACGTATATTCCAACACAAATCATTGCATATTAGTCCTACTCTTATTTTAATATTAACATGCTGATTGTGATATGATAAAATCATATTTTAATGAGACCTATTGGCATCGCCTTTACTTTCAAGTACTAGCTCAAAGTCGACGACATAATGTAAACGGAGAGTCGATGCACAAAATATAACTCAAACGGATATGAGATCAAATTTTATCATATCTCAGTCCACAAGTCGACCACCTTTTTTTTAAAACAAAAATGACGTTTTTGAAACACATGAATAATCAAGTAAACATTTTGTAACTTTTAATAGTCAAAGGATTCAACAAAACAACGTTTTATAGTCGGTAACTATTTTATAACTTTTGATACTGTGGTCTTTTCTAATGTATAGCAAAGTCATGAAAAGAAAAATTTAAACAATTTAAGTAACCTCAAATTCTATTCATTTAAGGTTTTATAAAAAAATAAGTATTTAAACTATACCTCAAAATACGATTAGTTTAAAGATTTTTTTGCTAAAATTTTGGCCGTTATATGATACGTGTTATGTATATAAAATTATAAATTTTATTTTATTTTAAAAAATAATATTATAATTAAAAAATCTCAAAATTTATATTTTTTTATCACCGAACGACCATCGTCAGTTCATGGTCGTCATCATTGACACCATCAAACCGTATCGCTGTCGCGACCAAAACCCAGTCTCCCATCCACGATGAAACTGCGTCGATCGTCGTGAAAAACATCGCAAAAGGTCGTCGAATTTTTAGGTTTTTCGTATAAGTTTTTCGGCAATTTTGACGCCTACAACCGTCCGTACGTTACACGTCTGTCACCATTGTGTTTCTCATCATGTGTAGAATAAAATTCGACCGATGGTGACCGTTCGCCGTCGGAGGTGGGGCGATGGGAGGGAGAGGGACAACGAGGGGAAGGAGGTTTATTTTTTTATAATTTTTTCTTTTAAAAAAATATTTTTAATATTTAAAAAATTAAAAAAATATAATGATAAACTCCTAAAAATATAACAGAAAAAATATTAAACACATATTTTTAATAAAAAAAATTAAACACTAAAAATATATTTCGAACCATAGTTTAAGTATTTATTTTTTGAAACCTTCATTTAAATACGAAAAGGCACCGTGTTAGATGTTATCTGCAAAAAGAATTAAGACAAGTGTCAACAAGCAAGACCTTCATTTAAATATATTTTTAGTGTTTAATTTTTTAATAAAAAAATTAAACACTAAAAATATATTTCGATACTTTAAAATATAATTAAATTATTAAAATTGGGAGTAATAGCTGTTGCTTTTTTTTAATTTTAATGTCGTTTTGGCATATTCTTCGTGTTAATAAAATATTGAATTTCATAATGGAGAATAAAAAAGGTGACAATAAAGAACTGGGAAGCATATCTCAGTAGTGTATAAATAATTCAATCAATCATTCTTGGTATGGATTTTTTTTCTTCAAAATTTACATTTTTATAATATTTTTCTAAATAAAATATTAAAATACTGATCCCTATGTATGCTCTCACAGCAACCTACTTTGTTTTATTTTATTCCTTTTCTTTTTGTCTATTTATATATAAATTAGGGGGAAAATTCCCACTTTGTTTTGCTCTCTCCTCACCGCTCATTAAGTAATAATTTTTTTTATACCCAAACAAGAAATATATATTATTTCTCTGCTTTTTATAAAAATAATAATTACTGAGTGGTTGTTTCTACATTAGCTTTTCTCTAGCCTCCATGATAGTATATACACACACGTAATAGGCTGTTAATTTAAATATAAGATTAGAGATAGAGATAAGATTTGAATTCGATGAGTTTTAATTTAATTCGATCTTATAAGATAAGTATTTTTTTAAAATTTAGATATAACTAGGTTGGGTCAGGCTTAGAATTAGGAAAAAAATTTCTAACTTGACCTAATTATAGATAACTATATTTTTCAATTAGATTAATATTTTATCTGATAAAAATGAGAAATATACATATGTTCGTGTTGAGTCTCTCTATATCGATAA